GAATTGCTTGAACCTGGGAGGTGGAGGTTGCAGTGAGCTGAGATCGTGCCACTGCACTCCAGCCTGGGCGACAGACACTCTATCTAAAAAAAAAAAAAAGTCACCTGTGGTGTGCATGACAATGAATGATAGTTCTTAAAAAAATTCTTGCTGATTAACTGGATGACTGAGAATCCTTCAGGGTAGATAGTTTTCCTTAAGAAGCGCAGTCTATTTCCAGAACCTTCAGACCTGTTTTAAAACGCTGGTTGAGAATGAGTTGGAACAAGCATGACAGACCTGTGAATCTGAATACAAGGAGAGAGCTCAGGACAAGGGAGTTTCCCTCTCTGACCACAGCTTCCTACCACAGTTCCCACTTCCCAGTTCTTAGTACCTCAAACACCATCATTTCATAATTCACCCAGTCTGCTACCTTTTTTTGGGTCATATTTGATTTTTTTTTTCAATCGAGCATTCTGTTGTCCCATACTTCATGATGCCCCAAGACGTTACCATTGCTATGAGCTCAGTACAGTTAATTCTGTGCTTTGACAACTACTATGTACCTCTATTTGATCTTTGGACTCTGAACTTTTTTCACCCTAATTTATCACTACTGGACTAATCTTTCTAGAATATCACTTTCTTGATGCTACCACTCCTACTCTAAAGTCCTTAATGATTGCTATACATCACTTACTTAAAATATTTAAATTTCTTAGCTTTGTGCCCACAGCACTCAGTGATAAAGTCCCCAGTAATCTATCTTCCCTGTTATTATCCAGAACTCCAGGACAGAATGTCTCAGGTTTTTTTTTTTTTTTTTTTTTTTTTTTTTTTTTTTGAGATAGAGTCTCACTCTGTCACCAGGCTGGAGTGTGGTGGCACAATCTTGGCTCATTGCAACCTTCACCTCCTGGGTTCAAGCGATTCTCCTGCCTCAGCCTCCTGAGTAGCTGGGACTACAGGTGCCCACCACCATGCTCAGCTAATTTTTGTATTTTTAGTAGCAATGGGATTTCACCATATTGGGCAGGCTAGTCTAGAACTCCTGACCTCGTGTTCCACCCATCTCTGCCTCTCAAAGCGGTGGTATTACAGGTGTGAACCACCACGCCCGGCCAGAACTTCTTAGTTTTAATTTCTCAAATGTATTCATGTCCCCCCAAATCACCTTATGTTTTTGTATCTTTGAATTTATTTTTGCTCATGTGATTTAAGTATCCCAACTTCTCCAGACTTCAGCCTAAGTCCCTCACCTAGCTTTTTTTTTTTTTTTGAGACGGAGTTTTGCTCGTTACCCAGGCTGGAGTGCAATGGCGCAATCTCGGCTCACCGCAACCTCCGCCTCCTGGGCTCAGGCAATTCTCCTGCCTCCAGCCTCCTGAGTAGCTGGGATTACAGGCACGTGCAACCATGCCCAGCTAATTTTTTGTATTTTTAGTAGAGACGGGGTTTCACCATGTTGACCAGGATGGTCTCGATCTCCTGACCTCGTGATCCACCCGCCTCAGCCTCCCAAAGTGCTGGGATTACAGGCTTGAGCCACCGCGCCCGGCCTAAGTCCCTCATTTTAATGTCCAAATTACGATTCTGCAAGAACCCTCTCTTTAAATAACTTTTGGAATTTTTGAAGAATATTATCAGAAAGTCTCAGAAAACCATTCTGTGGTGACTTGTCACCGTGGCCAGTTGTCTCACTCCAGATAACCCCTCTTCTCTCAGTTGATCACAGTTGGCTTTTACAAAGCTGGCTTCTACAGGCTGCCGCTGCTGCTCTCTCGGGACAGTTTTTGCCAAAGGCATGTTCCTGGGCTGCATATCTAATCCCATGCTGGGCAGCTAACTCCAGACTACATACAGTATGAATCCAGAGTATAATAGTTTGCAAATTTTCACAAAAGGTTTAAGTATAAATAGAGGGACAACCATACGGTAAATTTGGCCAAGGGCAGTGGCTCACGCCTGTAATCCCAGCACTTTGGGAGGCTGAGGTAGGCAGATTACCTGAGGTCAGGAGTTCGAGACCAGCCTGGCCAACATGGTGAAACCTGGTCTCTACTAAAAATACAAAAATTAGCTAGCATGGTGACAGGTACCTACAATCCCAGCTCCTCGGGAGGCTGAGGCAAGAAAATGGCTTGAATCTGGGAGGCAGAGTTTGCAGTGAACAGAGATTGTGCCATTGCACTCCAGCCTGTGAGACAAGAGCAAGACTTCATCTCAAAAAAAAATTTAAAGTGGGTACCTAGGTATGAAGGCTGCTAGAGTCCATCAGCTAAGTCCCTTCTGAGGATGCTTCCATACTGATGATCCATGACCTTCGTTGCCAACCTTTCCCCCTCCCTCACTTTCCACACTCTCCACAGTTGCATTTCACAGGCCAGTTTCTATCAACTGTACTCTGTCAGTCAGAGAATGGATATTTATTGTCTTTCAAGTTCTAGGCATTGTGGACACAAACGTAAACAAAATAGACACTGTAATTGTTTTCATGAAAGATATTAAACAAATTATAACTAATTGCTGAACAAATAATTCCAAGCATACAAATACTGCCAAAGAAATACCAGGAGTTCATGCTCAGGATCTCTACATTCTCTGGGGGCCCCAAAGAGGAAAAACCAATTTTCCCATCTCTTATACTCTAGTCAAATTAATTAATAATCTGTACCAAAGCAATTCTGGCCCCAAGAAGACAACTTATTACTTTATTATGCAGAAAGTTCACTGTTTCTTTTTCTTCTTTTTTTTTTTGGAGACCGAGTCTCACTCTGTCACCCAGGCTGGAGTGCAATGGTGCGGTCTCAGCTCACTGCAACCTCTGCTTCCCGGTTTCAAGCAATTCTCCTGCTTCAGCCTTCCAAGTAGCTGGGATTACAGGCATGCGCCACCATGTCCACTTAATTTTGTATTTTTTAGTGGAGATGGGGTTTTTCTATGTTGGTCAGGCTGGTCTCGAACTCCCGACCTCAGGTGATCTGGCCACCTTGGCCTCCCAAAGTGCTGAGATTACAGGTGTGAGCTACTGTGCCCGGCCTGTTTCTCATTTTTTAAAAAATTTTTTTGTGTTACCTCAGTAGAGAATGAATGCAGCCAAAATTCATGAGCACTTAAACTATATGCCTGCCATCATTCAAAGCCCAACATATGTATTAATTAATATAATTTTCCAAAAAAACCTATGAGGTAGTCCTATTATTTTTTCCATTTTATAAAAAAGATAACTAAGGCACAGACAGTTAAGTAACCAGCTCAAGGTTGCACAGCAAGTAATGGCAAATTTAAAAACCTAGGCAACCTGACAGCCCCGCCCAAACTCTTTATCACTACTCTATTATGCCTTACAATACAGGTAATTTGCCTAATCACATATGAGTCATCAAATGATTTTCCCAAAACAATGGAACAGTCTTTCCTCAAAGGTGCTATCTACCTCCACCTTTAGAGCAGAGAAAACACAGTGGCAATTCCTCAGTATCACTTTCTCATCTTTTGCCTTTGGACTTTCATCCCAGGGCCAGGCCTAGAGTACCCTGCCATATAAGACACTCCCTTGAAATGCTGTTCTCCTGAGTTGTTGAAATCCTACCAGTCTTTCCATAGAAGCCAGACCAAGCCTATTTTAGTTCATAGTGATCTCTTCTATCTCTGAATTCATGTAATAATCACTGTTGGTAGTCACACTCTTAAAGGTTATCTTCCTAAATAGGTTTATAAGGAGTCTATGTTTCCCCAAAGTAAACTGCCCAGTGCCTTGCATAGAATTGGTGGTATTCAAAAAGAATTATTGATTGACTGCTTGTTTGATTGAAAGGGTCTCCAGGTCATAGGGAACTGTGAGGTAAGCAGCAAAGCTGGCAGCAAACATATTTCAGTTCTTAATTTTATGTTTTTATGTAATTTTAAAAAACCTATAGGTATTATGAACATATCTGAAAAGTATTCATTCAATAAACATTTCATATGCCAAGGCATTGTGCTAAGTATTAGAAGTAAAAAGGAAAACATACTCTTTCTCCTGAGCTCTATACCCAAATTGCCAGCTGCATTCCAGATTCAAATTCAAGTTCAAATACAAGATTATCCTCTTTATCCCATAACACAGAAACACATCTTTCAAACTTGCTCCTCCTCAAAACCTCAACATTTCTTACAGGCTTCCCATCACCCATGGGATATATATCAATGATTTTTGTCATAAAAAAAATCTAGGTCATATATTCATTCTATGAATGACAAGAGGAACGGTACTAAGACAACCTGCTTCTCACTCTTTGAACAACTTACTAATACCATCAGGCAACCTTCTCTGTTTACATGTGTCTCTTGTATTAGCTGTGGGGCTGCTGCAGCTTTTATTTATTATGTGATAAAAGAGTTTACAACTACTTTCATCAGAACTTTTTTTTTTTATTGAGGCTTTTAAGTGAAACAAATGAAGCAAAAACATTGTTATGCTTCTCCTAGCTTTAGAGATGTAAAGGCTTCTGCAATGAAGAAAGGTAATTAAATGAAACAAGTTAAATAAACTAACAATTCATATTAATGATCAGTGGTAGAAATGTTTAGTTTTCTGATACATTTCTTTTTTTTTTTTTGATGGAGTCTTGCTCTGTTGCCCAGTATAGAGTGCAGTGGTGCAATCTCAGCTCACTGCAACATCCGACTCTCAGGTTCAAGCATTTCTCCTGCCTCAGGATCCCAAGTAGCTGGGACTGCAGGTTTGTGCCACCATGCCCAGCTAATTTTTGTATTTTTAGTAGAGACAGGGTTTCACTGTATTAGGCAGGCTGGTCTCGAACTCCTGACCTTGTGATCCGCCTGCCTTGGCCTTCCAAAGTGCTGGGATTACAGGCGTGAGCCAGCGCGCCCAGCCTTCTGCTACATTTTCAATCCAGAATTAATTAGCTTATAAATTAAAATACGTGAAAAATTGAGGATTCACTTGGATCATAATGCAACAAATATGAATTAGACTTCTAATTCCTTGTAACTTTTTGTAAAAATTCCACAAATTTTTTGGTATAGATTTCATTAGGGATGAAATTTGATCCCTGGTTAGTATTCCACACAAATTTTTAAAAAAGGCATCTTGGTGTTTGCTTTCTTCTGCTCTAAGTAAGCTCTTTATATTTTTCTTGAATTAATTTGCAAAGTAAATGTTTATAAGTTACTATTAAAATAGAAAAATGTTAAATAAAAAGCAGTAGATGTACATCATCTGAACGAGCATTAAGACATGTCTCCTACACCATAACAGTGATATAAAACATGCAGGTGACGCTTGATAGGATCCACAATAAAGTAAGAAAATGTCTGTTCATGATTCTTTGTTGAAGGATAGCACATACCAGCAGAATCCTGAAAAAGACAAGCCTAAATTATTTAGAATACAACTATGTTTAAGTGATAATCAACATATTTGCCTATTATGTATTTACTGTCAAAACAGGAAACATATATAAAATCTTTGACAATAAACTAGAAATTAATGATTTAAAATATTTATGGACAGCACAGTCTACTATTATAGGAATACGTATGTTCTATATTTACATGTATAATTTTTGTCTTTAAGGAATTTATAGTCCAAAGAGAAATCCCACCATTTTTAAAACATGCTTTTAAAGTGATAATACTGCAAAAATTTTCTATTTAGCAGTTTTCTATCTTTGTTTTCTTTCTTTTGTGTGTGTTTTTTTTCTTTGAGACAGAGTCCCGCTGTGTCCCTCAGGCTGGAGTGCAGTGGTGTGATCTCAGTTCACTGCAACCTTTGCCTCCTGGGTTCAAGTGATTCTTCTGCCTCAGCTTCCCAAGTAGCTGGGACTACAGGCACATGCCACCATGCCCAGCTAATTTTTTGTATTTTTAGTAGAGATGGGGTTTTACTGCATTAGCCAGGATGGTCTCAATTTCCTGACCTGGTGATCTGCCCGCCTTGGCCTCCCAAAGTGCGGGATTACAAGTATGAGCTACCACGCCCGGCCCCTTTTATTTAAAAAAAATTTTTTTTGAAGTTGGAGTCTCACTCTGTTGCCTAAGCTGGAGTGTAATGTTGGTACCATCTCAGTTTACTGCAAACTTTGCTTCTTGGATTCAAGCAATTCTCATGTCTCAGCCTCCCGCAAAGCTGGGATTACAGGTGTCTGCCATCACACCTGGCTAATTCTTTATATTTTTTGTAGAGATGGGGTTTCAACATGTGGCCAGGCTGATTGAGAAAATACTGACCTCAGGCGATCCGCCCTCCCAAAGTGCTGGGATTATAGGCGTGAGCCATTGCACCAGGTACGAAATATGTTTCTTTTATTTATCCCTGCGATTTAGCCTAGTACAATAGCTGATACAAAGTATATATTTAATAAATACTTGTTAGGTGATTGAATGAAGATACTTAGAAATTGCTTATATGTAATAACATCTTTTGTATAATAATAAAATTCAAGTACCAGGTTCTTTGTATAAAGACATTTATGGCATTCTTATTTATCTGCCCTATAAACGATGGTTTGACAGACTAAGAGAACCGTGTTCTACTCCATTTGAGTCACAGATTTAGCTCTCAAATAAGTAGGCAATGTTATTAGATACAGATGACAGAATGAAAGCCAGGGAAACAGTTCAAACTGTTCTCCAAACAAATGCATACTCTATCAATTTTTAATTTTAATAAAACTCTAAGTAACATTGTCTTTTCTCCTAGGCATAACATTGTCCTAATTGTTAACTCCAGTTGTAATAACTCTATTAATAAAAAATAATTAAATTCTTTGGTTGCAAAAGTTCTCTCACACTTACATAGGCTGAAACTTTAAAGACAAAAGAGGTAATTTGTATTTTCTTGGTTTGAGGATTCTTTCGAACACTAAAAAAGGAAAAAACAAAGATGCTTTTAACATGTAATAGGCATTGGCATATACATTTAAGTAATGATCCCTTTTAGTATTTAAGTGTTCTTATTCATGTAGAACATGGAAATACACACTATCCAACTAAGTGGTTTGAAAAAATGGCATCTGAGGCTTTATCCAAGAATGGGCAAGGTCAACTGAATTAAAACAGCAGAAAATTGAATCTCACAGTTAGAAGGTTTAAGGTCAGTCTGAGACCCAGATGATGAAATTACCTTCCCAGGCTACAGAGACAATTATCGGACAAACAGGGATTTGTAAAAGTCAGACTGAAGTGTAGACAGCCGTATGGGGTAGATAAAAGCATGCTAGACTGAAGACTTAAACAATGTAAATACAAATGCTAGTTCTGCCACTGACTTGTTCTTTGACTTTGGGTAAGATTAACCTTTCTGAGCCTCAAATTTCTCATATGTAAATTGGGAATAATATGTTCTTTTTCGTATATGAAAATCAAATTAGACAATATATATAATAACTATTTATTGTATTATATATTGCTAAGTTATATCATATTAAAAATAATTTTTTCAGCCAGGTCCAGTGACTCATGCCTGTAATCCCAGCACTTCGGAAGGGTAAGGTGGTGGATCACAAGATCAGGAGTTCAAGACTAGCCTGGCCAAGATGGTGAAACCCCGTCTTTACTCAAAATACAAAAAAATTAGCCTGGCATGGTGATAGGCACCTGTTACCCCAATTACTCAGGAGGTTGAGGCAGGGAATTGCTTGAACCAGGGAGGCGGAGGTTGCAGGGAGCTGAGATTGTGACATTGCATTGCAGCCTGGGTGACAGAACAAGACCTCCATCTCAAAAAATAATAATAAGAATTTTTTCTCAGTAGCTTTCTTTCAGTTACTCTCCCCACAGAAGATTTCCTGTGGCAATATGTAGTGAGAAAGCCAACTAAGGATTGAGAAAATAAGCTACACATGTATAGTTATAATTTGTTACATATGTAAATAAATATATAAACACTTTATTTTTATTTTTTATTTTTTTTAGAGACGGGATTTCACAATTCTGGCCAAGCTGGTCTTTAACCCCTGACCTCAGGTAATCCTCCCATCTCGGCCTCCCAAAGTGCTAGGATTATAGGCATGAGCCACTGTGCCCAGCCCACACTTTATATTTATAATGCCTTACAGTTGGTAAAACATTTTTAATACAATTTTTAGCTTATTATTACTATAATTTTTTTTTTCTTGATATGGAGGTTTGCCCTGTTGCCCAGGCTAGAGTGCAATGGCCATGATCTTGGCTCACTATAACCTCTGCCTTTCAGGTTCAAGTGATTCTCCTCTCTCAGCCTCCCGAGTAGCTGGAGTAGCTGGGATTATAGGCGTTCACCACCACATCCAGCTAGTTTTTGTATCTTTAGTAAAGACGAGGTTTCACCATGTTGGTCAGGCTCGTCTCGAACTCCTGACCTCAGATGATCCTCCTGCCTTGGCCTTCCAAAGTGCTGGGATTACAGGCATGAGTCACCACACCCAGCCTGATCATTTACTCTTCTAACAAAAGTGGTTCTAAAGTATTGCTTATTTGGTTTAAAGAAATCCCAATCTTTTTAAGGAAAAGGTTTTTAAAAACATTGAAAAGGTGTATTTTGGCCAGGTGTGGTGGCTCGTGCCTGTAATCCCAACACTTTGGGAGGCTGAGGTGGGCAGAATACCTGAGGTCAGGTGTTAGAGACCAGCCTGGCCAACATGGTGAAACCCTGTTTCTATGAAAAATAAAGAAATTAGGCCGGGCGCGGTGGCTCAAGCCTGTAATCCCAGCACTTTGGGAGGCCGAGGCGGGTGGATCACGAGGTCAAGAGATCGAGACCATCCTGGTCAACATGGTGAAACCCCGTCTCTACTAAAAATACAAAAAATTAGCTGGGCATGGTGGCGCGTGCCTGTAATCCCAGCTACTCAGGAGGCTGAGGCAGGAGAATTGCCTGAACCCAGGAGGCGGAGGTTGCGGTGAGCCGAGATCGCGCCATTGCACTCCAGCCTGGGTAACATGAGTGAAACTCCGTCCCAAAAAAAAAAAAAAAAAAGAAATTAGCCTGGCATGGTGGTATGTGCCTGTAATCCCAGCTACTTGGGAAACTGAGGCAGGAGAATCCCTTGATTCTGCAGCACAGGAGGTGGAAGTTGCAATGAGCTGAGATCACATCACTGTACTCCAGCCTGGCCTGAGCAACAGAGTGAGACTCTGATTCAAAAAAATAAAAATAATAAATAAATAAATAAAATATAAAATATAAAAACAATAAAAAGGGTGTATTTTATAGTACCTGTTATAATGGATGAGGAAGAAAATATTTTCATGACATTTTTACCCTTTTGTTTGAGTTAGAGACTCCTAAAATCACACTTTGTAGTAGTGTGCCCCCAACATGTAAAAACATAAGAGACGGACTGTGCTAGAATAGATTAGTACAAGGGTAGGTTACACACTGTAATGTAATCATGCTTTTTCCTAGCATCCAAAAATGTAGAAGAGAATCACAGGTGAGAATTTGGAGAAGGGAATGTTGGGAAAAATAGCAATTTCTTCAATGTTTAGGTTCTAAACTTATTTCTGCTTCAAATATCTCCAACACAATCTGCTCCTCCTCAGTAGCACACAGTAGCAGTGAGGAATTCCACAGGTTCATGTGGCTGATGGGGTACACTGTGGTGGTAGTGGTAGTAGTATGTGAGTGTGTGCATTTGTGCACGTGTGTGTGTATGTGTAGGGTATACAGAGAAGTTTCTTTAGGGAGTGCTAGAAGCAGTCTAGCAGGTTTACATGAACTTCAAATAATTAGGACAGTATGTTTGATATATTAATAGGTATGTGTATGCTTTTTCTGAAATTCTGTTTCTAACATAACTTCTTCCAATAATCTTGATTTCTTGATAATAACTTGTTTGTTAAAATCATAGATTATAGAAACATTTTTCTGTTTTTAACACATTATAAATTAATTGAATAACTAAATTATGCAGTTTGCTATATAGCTATACAACACATGGAATGGATAAGAGAATTAAGGTGTTGAGTGTAAGTAAAGCAATAATTATTAGTCCAATGAGAAGCTACTTCTGGTTTTCTCCTATTAAACTACATAACTAAACTTTAAGACCCTTTGTTTTCTGTTGTTTTGCCTATTAAGATGATCCAATATCTTCATAACTGAAAAACCCAACCAAAGAATATTCACTTCAGTTAAAAAAAGGTACAAATTTAATTGCTTTAATTTTCCAAAAAAAAAAAAAAAAAAAAAAGATACAAATAAGAAATTTGTAAGGTTTTAATTCCCAGTTTATCTTCAAAAAGAAAAATGCTCCTAGAATACTCAAACAAACTGTATAGCTTGGGGTTAATTTGAAAAGGTAAATATTACACCTTCATGAAAATTATTCCACTTCCTTGGAACAAAGGTAATGATTGTTTTTACTATTAGTTAAGCAAACTCAAACATCTGGGGGGATCTCTTCTGTTGCCTTCAGATTTAAAAGGAGGCTTGGTAAAAAAAAAAATAAGTCTTGGAAGATGGCAGTTGGTAACAGGTCTGAATGAGGAGAAAAGCAGAAGAAATAGATGAAGAATGAGAGGACTGAGAACTAAATAAGAGAGAAATCCACAAATCTTTCTATTCTGGGAGAGGGGAAAAGTTATGAGAAGGGGGTGAGGGTAGTGCTTTTTATATATTTTGGCTATTAATATGATCACTGAGTGATGTTGTGTAATTCTATCAGGGTTAAACAAATAATTTATTCTATTAACTAGAGATTTACATATTGTGATCTAGTAAATATTACCTCACCAGATCCTTATAGATAAGCTTTGTTGTTTCCAGATATGGGTTAATCACATCCTCATATTGACAAAGGGCTCCACCAAGGCAAAGGTGTTTGAAAAGACAAAACAAGAACTCTTCTCTATCTGGCTGGCCGAATACTTCATATTTTTCTGAGTCTTCCACTAGCAAAACCTAAGGTGACAAAATTCATCTAAATGTAACATAACTCAAAGTTTTAATTTTTCTGTTTTCAAAGGTTTCATTTTATATACTTAAAAATAATCTTACACCTATTTTAAGAATCAGTCTTGAGTCAACTGGAGAGAGTAACCTGTAATCTGCATTTATTTGCCTCTATTTTGGCATTAGGAACTGATATTCAATGAAAAGAACAAATTAAAATTTAAAACACAGTGGCTAAGTCTTCCCTCCTTCCACTTTACTTCTTAATTCTAGTTTACATTTTTAGTAATTGTTTTTGTGTTATGTCACCTCAAATCTTATTTGGAAATAAATGAGGACACTTTTCCATCCCATAAGGCCTCTTGTCTTTGCTTCTACCCAGAGACCAAACAGTCATTTTCTAAGCTCTCTTCTCTTACGGAGTTTGGATCACTTTGTTCTTACTCCCACAAGTACTCCCTTTTGAATGATTCAGTTGCTGGAGGCTCATATCCAGTTTTCGCTTTCCTGCTCTCCTCTGGTAAGATCACTTCACACATCATCTGCCGACATTGACTCTTGTCCTTCTGTGGTCTTGCTACCTCTTACAGAAAGCAGAAAACTAGATCCGATGTAGGGGATTTTCTTATGCCATTGGGAACTACAGACAACTGATTCATTTATTGATTGTATGAAAAGGCGATGAACGTAAGATATCTATTTCTTCCATTGGATTGTTTACATCCTACCTACTTTGTTTATTTATTTCTTTATTTAGACATGGTGTTTCACTATGTTGCCCATGCTGGTGTCAAACTCCTGGGCTCAAGTGATCTTCTTGCCTCAGCCTCGCAAAGCACTGGGATTATAGGCGTGAGCCACTGTGCCCAGCCCCCACCTATTTTTAAAAAAGAATGTGAACACCAGGTGCGGTGGTTCATGCCTATAATCCCAGCACTTTGGGAGGCCATGGCAGGAGGATGGCTTGAGGCCAGGAGCTTGAGTCCAGCCTGAGCAACAAAGTGAGACCTCAACTCTACTAAAACATCCCCCAAAAATAAGCTGGATGTGGTGGTGAAAGCCTGGAGCCCAGTGAATCAGGACATTGAGGTGGGAGGATTGCCTGAGCTCAGAAGATGATTGAAGCTGCAGTGAGCCATGACTGCACCACTACACTTCAGCCTGAGTGACAGATCAAAAAAGAAAAAAAAAATTTGAAATAGCTAAAAATAAAATATAGATATAATAAAACCCAAATAATATAGGACAAAAAAACTCTGAAATGAAGCGGAAAAAGAAAATAAATACATATAAACAACTCTATATGGGAGGGGTGTCAAGATGGTTGACGAGGCATTTGGTACTCACTTCCTGAACAAAGTAGAACCAAAATCCAAAATAGCAAGTAGATATTCACACTTCAAAAAGGGCATCTAAGAGACAACACTGGAATTCAACAGAGAGGTGACAGGAAACACACAAGGCACAAAAGGAGCTGGGATTGGCTGGGAGAGGCTTCCCAGTGCAGGGCAATGGTAAGTGAAAGATCCCTAGCAGTCCACATTTGTACTGCGGACTCCTGCAATCCTCACCATGGGAGCGTTCCTCAATCTTCATGGGCCCTGAGACTAGTAATAGAGTGCTGCCTGGAGACCACACAATGGCATTGCTCCCCAGGGGAGCCCATGCTGGCTCCCACCACCCCTCCCCCACCCTGAAGTACTAAGCAGCATAGGATGGCACCATTTTGAGAGTCCAGCCCCTCCCAGACTGCATCCTTCCTTGGGGCCCAACAGTCCCTGCATCTCCACATCCCTAGAGCCCCACTGACATACCCGTATGTCCACCTGGACTCTGCATGGTGTCTTGCACCCGGGGGAATGTGTACTGCAATACACTGAAGACGCTGCCCTTGAGACAAAGGGAGCCAAAGTGTGTGTTCCCCAGAGCCTGAAACCCACTTACCTGGGGCCACTGTCACTGATAGCAACCTTGCCGCCACCAGCAGCAGGTCTACCATGCACGTGCATGTTCCCTGAAGATGGAGTCTCCCACCCACAGCTGAGGGGCTGAAGCATATGCCACTGGCAACGACCTTGTACCACTCATTCCCTTGGCAGCAGGGCCACTACACTCTTGCACGTGCCCTGAAGACTGGCTCTCCCTACTGTTGCTGCCACTACTGCCATGGCCATTGCTGCTGGGGGCTGAATGTGTGCTCCCAGAACCCAAGAGCCACCTGCCAGTGGCTGCAGCCACTAACAGCAACCTCACCCCACCCCTTGCAGCAGGACCACAGCTCCCTTCACATGCCCTCAGGATGAGCTCTCTCCACCCATTGCCACTGCTGCTGCCATCTGAGCACTCTGCCAGGGGGACTTGCAGATCACCCAGTCCAACTCACAACAGGCAGCACCTGTATGCACCACTGGGGGACTTGAGGACAGCCCCTCAGGCCTAGGACAGCCCCTCGGGCCTGGCACTGTCCCCCATCCAGTGCTTGACCACACTCAGGGCTCTGGGATTTGCCCTGTCCCATCTACCACTGCTGGCATCTGTGTACTCCTCTCAGAGACCTGAGCACAGGCCCACTCAACTGGCCACCACCATAGCAGCTGGCACTCACCCATACTTGCTCCTTGGTCTGCCCAGCATGTTACCACCACCACTAATATAAGTGTATACTGCTTGGGAACCCAAAGGTTGTCACCACTGCTATAGCCATCATCCATTTAACACACACTGCCTGGGGATGCAAACACACATCCACCCACCCAGCCCACCACTAACACTGCTGGCACCTAAGCAAGCTGCCTAGAAGCCCAAGAATCAGCCTGCTTGGACCTGCTAACACCACTTCCTGCCTATACTGCTCAGGGGCCCAAGGACAGGTGTGCTTTGGCTAGCTGCTGCCACTCCTGGGGCCCAAGAAATGGCCTGCCTTCCCCAGCATAACCTCACCCCAGCCTCCACTAACAATTGCAATCTAAGCCACCAAGGAAATCACAGACACCAGCGATGCTGTGTACACCTGAATAAATCATAAGGGGACTACACTATTGCATGCACCCAGAATCAAAACCAAAGTTCTCTACCCAATCAACACCATAAACACATCTTCAGGAAAAAGTCTTCTCCTAAAAAAGTCAATTCAATAAATTCAAAGAAGTGGCTGTTAAACTAGATGCACATATATTAATATAATGACACAAGAAACATGAAAGAGCAAGAAAAGATGACACCTCCAAAGAAACACAATAATTCTCCAGCAACAGATTTAATCAGAAAGAAATTTATGAGCTGTAAGAAAAAAATTCAAAATAATGATATGGTCAGGCATGATGGCTCACACCTGTAATCCCAACATTTTGGGAGGCTGAGGTAAGTCAACTGCTTGAGCCCAATAGCTTGAGACCAGCCTGGGCAACATGGTGAAACCCTGTCTTTATTTCTAAAAAAATTCACTCAAAAAATTAACGATATTAAAGAATCTCAGTGAGAGACAAGAAAGCACAGATAAAGAATACAAAGAAATCAGAAAAACAATTCAGGATACGAATGAGAGATTCACCAAAAAGATAGATATCATTAAAAAGGACCAAACAGAAATCCTGGAACTGAATAATTCAGTGAATGAAATAAAACATTCAATTGAGAATTTCAACAATATACTACATAAAGCCAAAGAAAGAGTTTTCAAAACTTGAAGACAGGTCTTTTGAAGTAACCCAGTCAGACAACAAAAAAGAGAGAAAGAATGAACAAAGCCTACATTACATATAGGATACCATAAAGCAAACACAGTTTTGAATTATGAGGATTCCAGAAGGCGAAGAGAAGAGAAGCCCAAAGGCGTAAATAAATCTATTTAACAATATAATAGCTGAAAACTTTTCAATTCTAACAAGAGATTTTGATGACCAGATACAGGAACCTTAAAGATCCCCAAATAAGCCGGGCGCGGTGGCTCACGCCTGTAATCCCAGTACTTTGGGAGGCCGAGGCGGGTGGATCACGAGGTCAAGAGATCGAGACCATCCTGGTCAACATGGTGAAACCCCGTCTCTACTAAAAATACAAAAAATCAGCTGGGCATGGTGGCGCGTGCCTGTAATCCCAGCTACTCAGGAGGCTGAGGCAGGAGAATTGCCTGAACCCAGGAGGCGGAGGTTGCGGTGAGCCGAGATTGCGCCATTGCACTCCAGCCTGGGTAACAAGAGTGAAACTCTGTCTCAAAAAAAAAAAAAAAAAAAAAAATCCCCAAATAAGTACAACCCAAAAAGGTCCTGAAGGTACATTATCATCAGACCATCAAGAGTTAAAGAAAAAGAATTCTAAAAACAGCAAGATAAAAGTGTCTAGTCACATATAAGGAAACCCTAAATAGACTCATAATGGATTTCTCAGCAGAAACCTTACAGGCCAGGAGAGGATGGGATGATTCAAAATGCTGAGAGAAAAAACAAAGAAAAAAACTGGCAGCCAAAAATACTATATGCAGCAAAATTATCCTTCATAAATGAAAGAGAAAGTCTTTCCTAGACAAGCGAATTCATCATCACTAGGCCTGCCCTGTAAGAAATGCTTAAGGGAGATCTATACCTGAAAGCAAAATTTGAAAACACAGAGAAAGGATTCAAATATTACCACTACAAAAAATCACCAAACCCCAAAGATAAACGAAAACAGAAAAAGGAACAAAAGATATAAAAAATAACCAAAAAAATTAACAAAATGACAAGAATATGTCCTCACATATCAATAATAACCTTGATTATAAACAGACTGAATTTTTCACTTAAAATTTATAAACTGGCTGAGTGGATTTAAAAAAAAAACATGATCCAACTAACTGTATGTTGCCCATAGCAAACTCACTTATCCTGTAAACAAAACAGTAAAAACAGGCAAAGAATGCTAATGGGGTCAATTAATCAAGAGGATGTACTATTCTAAATACGCATACATCCAACAGCAGCAGACATAGATATATAAAGCAAATATTATTAGAGCTAACAGAAGAGATAGAC